ACTCACAGCAAGCAAATTTTATGTGACAGACTGAGCTAGCCAATGGCAGATAGATAGATCACTGAATGATTATGTGAGCAACTCAATCTGCCTGCCTGCTTTGCCTGATTTTGGGTAAAAGTTGCTCTTTTTTTATAAAAAAATTCAATATTTACATACATGGTGCGTTGTGAGTTAATTTTGTGAGTTTGCTTGCAAGCAAATTTTATGTGACAGACTGAGCTAGCTGATGGCAGATAGATTGATCTCTGAATGAATCTGTGATTCTGTGAGCAACTCAATCTGCCTGCCTGCTTTGCCTGATTTTGGGTAAAAGTTGCTCTTTTTTATAAAAAAAAAATCAATATTTATATAAATATTTATAATTTACAAATAGGCCATGCCCAGCCAGTCACATGACCACCAAGCCACACCCACACATTAGGCCATGCCCACAGAACCGGTTAGTGGTCCCTGGGATTTAAAATTATGAGTTTGGGGATCCCTGAGGTCCAAAAGGTTGGCGACCCCTGGCCTAGAGCACAAGTTACCCTATTTGGGTAGGCCAAAAAGAAGACCAGAAGATCGTTGCAGCGAACCAGTTCAGTGTCAGCTGCTTTTTGAAGCTACCAGTTCTATAGAACTGGGCCAAACTGGTAGAATCCCACCCCGTATCAGAATATTTAAACTTAACTGATGAAAATAATTGGTGATTATAAACCGATATATTCCTGTACATATTATCCTGAACTCAATAGAAGAAAAATAAGAAATAAATGTTATTGAAATAACTGTGATTAATGACAATAAAGTCCAAAGGTGAAAGTAATATGTGAATGTAATTCCTCAAACACTTTTATATATTAAATAATTGTAAAATACTGTTTAATAATTATATTTAGGGAGTAAGTTTGAGAAATAGAGTAAAAAAGCTAAGGTAACCAATGAAAAATCCATCCAACTCTCTTTGAGCTATTTATTCTGGCCCTCTTAGAACAGTTTAACAACACATTAAAAAAAAGAAAAAAGTATGTTAAAAATACAGCTGTTTCCTTCCTGATTCTTTCCAAATAGGAAACAACCCCAAATTTACACATCTCAATCCTCACTCTGTAATAGCATGTGGATTACTTTTGTTTATTTCTCTCTCTTCAGCCCTTTCCAGTTTATTCTATATTAATTTTTTGGCTTGGACTCTTGAGTAATTATTTTTAGATGAAGATTATCATTGTACTTTCTTGAGAACATTTAAAATCTATTTTAATTCTCAATTCATTTCTTGCTTTGTTGATTGCTGGTAAGTTATAATCAACTTGGAATAACACAGCGAAAACTAAATCAGGAATTACTTGTTTTCTTTTTTATAGTTTTTACAGTTTATTTTACATGTTAAACATCATAGAATTCCTTTTGATGGATAAAGATCCAGTGATTGATTTATTCTGGTTAACATAAAACAAATCCTTGGCTTCAAAAAAATCAGCTTTAAGTAATGGACAGCATCAGCTGCTCTCTAATGCTCTCTGATAATTTGCTAATGCCAAAACATTTGATCTTTGAAATTATACGCATCAAGATTGTAAGTTACTATTTAGCTATATTGAATATAAAATACTGCATTTTTACTCTCAAGAGTTTTTTCTTTCATTTTGTGGATGAATGTGTATTGATGGTAAGAAGGAAGGAGGAACAGATATAGGATCACCAATTTTGAAGTTTTTTTCTTTCCTTCATAGTTCAGCTGGCAACCTAAAGAGTCAATTTGCACTATTAAGGTTTTTGAGAACTTCATGATTTTCTTAAGACTTTACTGAATACCTTGCTTAACAACTGCTCTGTTTATTATTAAAATTACAATGGTGCTAAAAAAGTAACTTTACAACCGGTGCTTGCATTTACAACCATATGGTATCCCGTGGTCAACCATATGGTATCCCGTGGTCCTGTGATTGCCATTTGCTTTCTTCAAAACTGGCTTTTAAGGAGCAATGAGAAGCTGGGAATAAAATCACAAGGCACGGTCGTACAGTATCTCATTTAATGATATGTGGTTACTCACTAAATGATTGAATGGAAAATAATATTGTAAGTTTTCAACAGTCATTTGATGTTTCACTTAGCAACCATATCGCTTAGCGATGGAGTTCTTTAATAGGCATACCAGCCCCCACTATATGAGGGGCTGGTATCCCCACTAAATGAGTGTGACTTCTAGTGTCACTTATAGTTACTACTGATTTTTTAAAAAACTTTCACTAGCTTAAATTTAAAAAATCTGAATTATGTAGCAGAAGTTAATGGCTGTTCTGAAAGTAAAAATTAAAATTTTGGAGCTTTCCTATTTGCTATTTCAAGCTGAGGGTAAACTGGCTTCTTAATTAAAGATGGATTGTTCGATTAACTTGATAACAATCTAGCTGTTGCATTGCCCGAGTAAATATGATATAATGAAAATTTGAAAGTATGTGAATATTGCATCATACTTTAAGAGTTTTGGGCCTGCAAGAAAAATATTGCATCAATTATCAGCCTCGTTCGGCCTCTGCCACTTTTTTATGCAATATGTTAGAATTCTCCATTAAGATGGGGTGAATGTTAGAAGCAGAAAATGTTGTTCCTAGAGGTTTAATTCCTGTGGAAGAAGGCACATGTTCCTTATGAGAAAAGACTTGCACAAATGTTAGTTTCCCTACATCTGCCAGAATCTTTGAATTGTACACAATGCTGCTCTGTCAACATGGTGCTGGTTCAGCAGCATATTTGCATGCATAGACTTGGTAAGTATTTGAAGGCCAATTCTTCTATAATTGGTTGACTCTCTGAATAAGAGCCTCTCTCTGTCTTTGTATTAAAGGGTGTATACAGAAGTACAGGATTGTATGCTGACATCCTCTTGCCTTTGTCTACTCCCTGCCAGGGTGCATTTGTGGAGGTGGCGTTTTGTTGTTAAAGCTCTTTCAAAGAACAATATATGTTCAATTTAAGGGCAATGTGATGTAGGAAGAGGTTGTCTATTTTTATTTTTAATTTCAGCACCTGTGAAAATTAGAATTAAACAAATGCTTTGTTTATTACAGCCATATTTTAATGTGCAAGAAATCTTGAGTACAAAAACCTTGTTTCTGTAAGAAAAGACTTAACAAAATTTAAACAGTTTTTTCCATATTTGACATTTTTAGATCAGTGTAACTATGGATAAAAAACAGAAACTCTTTAAATATGTTCGTATGTTGTTTGATTTCAACCATGTGCCATGCCCCATTCTGTTCTAGAATATATCCAGGCTTCAGGAACCAGTCCATAGAACGTTCATGAGGCCCTGCTGGGAGAGAGATGAGAAGAGCTCAGTTACACATACAAAATGCATTTCTATGGATGCAAGCCTAGAGAAGAATTCTGAACATTTTTATTCTTAATAGTGTTTTTTAGAATGCATGTTTGTATCTGGAACATCAGTGGATGTTAATTGGTAATTCATATTACTGCCCCACATCATTGGAGAATCATCAGATATGTATGTTGCTGTATTAATAAAGGCGAATCTATCTATCTATCTATCTATCTATCTATCTATCTATCTATCTATCTATCATCCAGAATTGCAGTAATTGAGGAACAGAGGTGGTTGGTGGGTTTCAAAGTGTTAAAATGAAAGGCAAAGTTGTTCCACATCTAGTTCTAGATTTCCCTTTTCCAGGAAACCATTACCTAACAGCAAAAGGAAGAACAGGAAGTCTGGTTTCTTTCTGAACTGTCTCCATGTCAGATGGGGCAAAGGTTACAATTTTAAGGCAGGTGATTGAGTGTCCTTTCCCTTCCCTCCAATATCCCATTTGCTGATTCTTGGTAAATAAGTATAGCACAGAGAGATTAGAGGGATGAGATAAGAACTCATTAAAGTCATCTTCCTGAGAATGATTCTATACCTAGAGCTAACCCACAAAATGCCATTTAGAAATAGCATTGGTAAAAAATTTTCTTATTTTGAGTACAATCCCAGCTAATCAAGGAAAGCTGACTTACAATCTGAATATCATTTTATACACTATTTAAATGTCAAAAAGTCGATCAATTTCTCAAAAGCAATAATTGTCTTTTTTTTTTAAGGAATTTGTCATGAGTATGAGAAGGTGGCTTTTAGGTAACAGAGATTTTTGCTGAGTTCATACAAGAGAGAGAAAGATTCTATCTCTGTCTGCCAGCAGCTTCTATTTACATTTTTAAATTTTTTTGCAAGTTTTACATAACATGTAATTTGACTCTAAGGGAGCTTTTTTGCTGTCATTAGCTAACTGCTCACACATTATTACTGCTACTGATCTTGTATATATTTTTTTTGTATTTGATTCATACATAATAATTACTAAAACCATATATTAGAGGACTTTTTAAAATATACAAAATAGAACAAACAAAATAAAGAATAAAATGATAACGAATTATAAAAGCATCAACAAAAAGTTAACAATCTCAGAGTAACATTAAATAATAATGAAAAGATCTGAAAGAATAAAAATGGCCATGTCTAGCGCTGGTGACAGTTGCTCAACAATGGCTGTTATTGGATTCCAAAATGAGAGGAGCTGGCCCTGAAACAGGCCTTTATATTCCCATGTTCCCTCAACAGCCTCCTCTCTCCACACCTTTACAATCTATTTGAAAATAACATCTGACTTGGGGATGGTACAAAAGGGTGAAATAACAAAAAATAGGGAAGTGCATCCTGAAAAAATTGACTTGCACAGCATTACTTTAGGATGTAGTTCATTCATACTGATTTGTTATTTAGAAGTGTTCAGCTGTTTGAAATGTTGAGCATGCTTTCTCTAATCATCTGTTTTAAATATTTAAAAAAATACATTTTCTTTATAAAGACTGTAAGATATCAGCTATGTCCTACATTGTTACTGATACATAGGGCAAAATATACTGAGAAAGAAGCTGGTACAAAAAGCTTTTCTGTTTTTATTACTTATTTTATGCAATGACTAATGTCCTGTGTACTTCTTTATTTCCTCTAGGTTTAAAGCGAATATTGAAGCTTTGGCCCCCACTATTTTTGTATGTGTGGAAGATGACTGCTTGATAAAATGGGTGACTTTCAATTCCAAAGAAGTGAAAATGACTGAAGAACAGCATCTTTAGACTATTTGCCACTAAATTAAATGATCACAACTGGGATCTCATGCACCCCTTATATTTTCTGGAGGATCTTCTCCAGAAGAGAGTTTTACATTTAAAAGGAGGACATGAGTGTATTTTCCTTTGGAGCTTACTAAGACTAAACACACTTTCCAATAATGACCAGCTTGAAACGGTCCCAGACTGAAAGGGCTGTTGCCACCGGAATATCAGATGTTGCCCCCAAAGTACATTCAGATGACTTTTATATGAGGCGCTTTAGATCACAGAATGGTAGCTTGGGATCTTCAGGAATGGCTCCAGTAGGCCCTCCACGCAATGAAGGATCACATCATCTTACTTCTACTCCTGGAGTTCCTAAAATGGGAGTTAGAGCAAGGATTGCAGACTGGCCCCCAAGGAAGGAGAATGTCAAAGAAAACAGTAGATCAAGTCAAGAAATGGATACATCGAACTGTCTGGATAGTATGTCCTCAAAAAGTAGTCCAGGGAGTCAGGGAAGTTCTATTAACTTAAACAGTAGTGATTCTGTCATGTTGAAGAGTATTCAAAACACACTTAAAAACAAAGCAAGACAATCTGACAACTTAGATTCTAGATTTCTTACACCTGATGGTTACCACAGCTCCCCAAGAAAAGCTCTTCGTAGAATAAGACAGCGTAGTAATAGTGACATCACTCTAAGTGAGCTTGATGTAGATAGTTATGATGAATGTATCTCACCCAGTTACAAATCGGGACCATCACTGCACAGAGAATATGGCAGCACCTCCTCAATAGATAAGCAAGGTACCTCAGGGGAAAGTTTTTTTGACTTGTTAAAAGGTTATAAAGATGATAAGTCTGATCAAAGACGTCCAGCCTCCAGCAAATTTAGTGAACTCCTTATAGCTAGTGGAAGTAAAGGTTCGGGATTTTCTTTGGATGTGATAGATGGACCCATTTCTCAAAGGGAGAACCTTCGATTATTTAAAGAAAGGGAGAAACCACTGAAGAGGCGTTCAAAATCAGAGACCGGAGATTCTTCTATTTTTCGCAAGCTGCGTAATGCCAAAGGTGAAGGAGATCTCGGAAAGACTTCAGATCTAGAAGACAGCAGATCAGAGGATAGTGTCAAGCCTTGGACTTGCCCCAAATGTTTTGCTCATTATGATGTCCAGAGTATATTATTTGATTTAAACGAAGTGGCAGTTAACCGGCATAATGTTATAAAAAGAAGGAACACAACTACTGGAGCTTCTGCTGCTGCGGTTGCATCGTTAGCTTCTGGACCGTTGTCCCATTCTGCAAGTTTTAATTCCCCTATGGGTAGTACAGAAGAACTGAATTCTAAAGGAAATTTAAATGTGGACCAGGGAGATGATAAAAGCAATGATCTTGTATTGAGTTGTCCATATTTTCGTAATGAGATCGGTGGAGAAGGAGAAAGAAATATCAGCCTCACCAAATCTAACTCTGGATCCTTTAGTGGCTGTGAAAGTGCCTCTTTTGAGTCTACTCTTAGCTCTCATTGCACAAATGCGGGAGTGGCTGTACTTGAAGTACCCAAAGAAAATCTGGTGTTACACCTGGACAGAGCCAAGAGGTACATTGTTGAACATGTGGATCTTGGTGCATATTACTATCGGAAATTCTTCTATCAGAAAGGTGAGTTATTAACTACTTTGGAAATGTTGCTGTATACTCAACATTTACCTAAGGAACTGCTTTGATGCACAGGGTTCATTTATCTACTAGGACCTGTACAAATCTTCTGTGGCATGTTGTGCTTTGGCAAAGACTTGACAGAAACATACTAGGCTGCTGGTTTCTTTCAAAAAGAAAGAAACAAAGAAAGAAAAGCAGCTGAACTACTTTACCTCACAAGCCTCACTAGCATTTTCAAGTCTCCCCAGACTTTTTGAAAATGCTCATTGAGGCACATGGTAGCTTATTAAGTCAAATCATGACATCTCTTTCCAGTATGGAGTTCTTTATCAAAATAAATCTTCACATGGATCTGTTATATGCTGTTTGTAATTTATGACACATATGACAAATTAGGCATTTCATAGTTTAATACTGAGGAGGAACTGTACTACAATATTATTTAAGGCGGAACTAGAAGGACATGTTTCCCTTAGAGGCTTGCATTCTTTCTCAGATTTCTCTTTTCTAGAAGCTCTCACTATGAAAGCTTTCTGCTGTGAAGTTACTATGTGGCTTGAACTTTAACTATGGTTAATTCAATTTGAGGCTAGCCTCAAAAACAACTGTTTAAAAATGATGTCTTTTAAAGTGGATTGTTAATAATGACCACAACTCTTGATCTTGATTTAAATGGAAGCAGAAACCTTTTAGTTCCTGAACCACTTGGAAAGGGAAAGAAAGATTTTATTTATTTACTTATTCATCAGATTCACATGGCTGCCCATCTCAAAAACAAATGACTCTGGGTAGTGTACAAGCTAAAAAATATTCAAAACAACCGTTAATATTATAATAGTTAAACATTACAAACATTACAAAGTTTGAATCACAATAGCACTCGAGATGGAAATTTCTGTCAGTAAACAATTCATTATGTGATGCAACTTCCTGTTAGCTTCCCACAACCAAAGTCAATAAGGAAGCTAGTTGGAAGTTGCAAGCCCCAGGCACAAACAGGCAGGTCAGTGGCTTCTGCCAGGTGGGGGGTGGGGAAGGAGAGGGAGGGTGTGAGTGTGGGGGAGGGTTGGCAAGGATACATGAGAAATGCCATGCAGATTGCCAAGGGTGTGTGAGATGTACCACATAGGTGGAGAGAATGTGTGATGGTATGTAAGGGGATCTTCACAGATCAGGGAGGATGCATGGGGTTCCACAAGTGGCTGACCCAGTGTGAACACAGAGGGGTGGTGAGAGATTGTGCAGGTAGGGAAGATTTACCCCACTGACTTGCTCTTTGCCTTTCTGGGAACAGAAGCATGGAAAGTTGCAAAAGGCAATTGTGTGATCACAACACTCTTGGCAACTCATCATAGTTGTGAAAAGCCAATCATCCAGATCATGATCATACAACTACAGAAGTGCTCGGGCAGCCAGAACTCTGAGAAGTTGTATAATCTCCATTGATTCAGTGCTGTTGTAAATTCGGACAGTCGCTGAATAAATGGTCTTAAGTCAATGATGTATAAAAAGCATGTACAACTTTAAGAAGAGCTTATGTCATTCAGAGTGATAATCAAATGTAGATTTTTAAGAAGGACTGCAAATACCTATAGATTTCAACCTATGAAGGACATTTCTATTTTTTTTATTTTAAAAAAGCAGTTGTACATAAATTATTCTTGTTCTAGAAACAGAGTATCATCAACATAATTATCTTAATGTAAAATATTACATTAAGACACATCCACTGCTTTCTTAACAAAAATATTGCTGCTATCTACTTGTGAGGTTATGTTTTCAGTGTTCCATTCTGATCAATAGCCTGGTATTTCTTATATAGTATCCATAAAACTATTAGACCAGTTTAGAATAGAATAGAATAGAATAGAATAGAATAGAATAGAATAGAATAGAATTCTTTATTGGCCAACTGTGATTGGACCCACAAGGAATTTGTCTTGGTGCATATGCTCTCAGTGTACATAAAAAAAGGATACATTCGTCAAGAATCATAAAGTATGACACTTAATAATAGTCATAGGGTATAATAAGCTATCAAATCATACTAGGAAAAATTGTAAGGATTCAAGCAACAAAGGACAACATACAGTCATAAGTGGTAGGAGATGGATGAAAGGAAGGATGGGAAAATTATTAGTAATAGTAATGCAGACTTAGTAAATAGTATGACAGTGTTGAGGGAATTATTTGTTTAGCAGAGTAATGGCATTTGAGAAAATCTGTTCTTGTGTCTAGTTGTTTTAGTGTGCAGTGCTCTATAGCATCCTTTTGAGGGTAGGAGTTGAAACAATTTATGTCCAAGATGTGAGAGGTTTTTCAAATCAGTGTAGAGTTGGACCTGAATGGAATTCCATCTGAAAACATTTTCATTTTGACAGTTGTCAAATAATGATAGTTCATTCCCTTTAGTTTTTATGTTTTACTATATGTTTTATTTTAAGTGTTTTATATTTTGTTATACTTTATGTATATCTAAGAATGTTTGGCATGGTAGATAAAAATGAAGAATAACGGAAATATGATTTTAGATTAGAGTGTTTTTGAATGACCGTATTTGAAAAATCAATATATGATTGCATACCATGGAATTTTACAATGGAACATGCTGCCAGTTGATTATAATTATAGATATTTTTGGGTTTATAGATAGTTTTGGGTTACACTTGGAATAAAAAAAACTCTAGATGGTGCTCAGGTTCAATTCTGATTGCCTGGTCCATATGCTACATGTTATGTTTTTATGCCTACACTTGGTTAGAACTCGTGTTTGAAGCAAAATTGTTCCGTCTGAACTAGTCTTAAAACCTGGAAATATTATGATAACATTAATATGTATCCTTTTTATGAAATATAATTATTCTTTCATTTTTCCACCTCTATCCCCCAAATATGTGTTTGATTTTAATTGCACAAGAACACTGGAACTACTTTGGGGCAGATGAAAACCTTGGTCCCGTAGCTGTCAGCATCAGAAGAGAAAAACCTGAGGAAATAAAAGAAAATGGTTCCCAGTACAATTACCGCATTATTTTCAGAACTAGTGAGGTAAGTGGGCAGTAAAGAAATAAGAAATTTGACTTCCATGTTGAACTTGTTACAAAAATCATATGCCTAACATTGGAAGGATAATAGCTGTCAGTAATTTAATATTATGCAACAAACAGTTGTGTATTTTATAAACCTCAGGTTTTAAAGAGTGGTGTTCCTGTACAAAGAATTTTCTAAATTTATACAGCATTGAAATTAAAAATCCCCAAACTTGCCATTCAACATGCTCTTATGCATGTTTATTTTATGTTTTGAGAAGAAAGATTCAGAAATAACCTAATTAAAAACCCAGTGAATTGTTTTTCTAACAATACTTAGCAGAAATCTCACACAGGTGATGTACAACTTAAGATTCAGTAGCAGCCTTTGATATGCTTCTTAGAATTAGGGGGAATAATAATAAGTTATATTAACCTATGATGATAGCTGTGGATATTTACACTGGAAAAATAAGGCAAGTTTTTATATAGCAATAGCACTTCGACTTATATACAATTTCATAGTGCTTTACAGCCCTCTAAGTGGTTCATCATTTTATCAACCTCAGAAGGATGGAAGGCTGACTGAATCCTGAGCCACACAGATTCGAACTCCTGGAGTGAGCAGTGAGTTAGCCTACAGTACTGCATTCAAACCACTGGGCCAACACGGCTCTTATGCAAGGTTTTATTTATGCTTGTATGGAAAGTTTAATTATTTTTAATTTTTAATTTTATTTTATCCCCTCTAAACATACATTTCCTTAAACTATGTCAGGAATTGCCATTACATGGTACAAAATGAGCAAATATTTGCTCAGGACTAGGAAATTTTTCTTAACACTTTAGGACACATAACTATGATAATGTTATTTTGTTATTAATTTCTGTCTTTCCTTTATACAAATATAAAATGATACACCATTATTACAGTTTTATATGTGTTCTGTGTTAAAGGCAATGCTGTTTGATGACAAGAATGCGAAGTCCTGATTATGAAGAACAGTATTAGCTTTTGTTAGATGAAAGTAGAAAAGTTTGTTAGATGGAACTAGCAGAGATTGTAAGGACACAGACCTTCACTTCAAAACATCACTTAACTGATTATAAAAGGGTACTTTTAAAAAGGCAACAAAATTGTTAGTCTAAGTGATAGTGAGTTAAAAAAGGTAATAATTTATGCAAATATTAGATAAAATCTGTTTTGCTTTAATAATTCTGCTAGCTTCTACAATTTTTAACGAAGTCATTTCAATAAATGAAATAATATTGAATGATTTTGCACTATCACTTATTTCATAAACCTTATCTGTTTAATACAGGTTTCATATTATTTTGCACTTAAGCAACCCTAAATATTGATAAGAAAATGCTTTGTTTGCTCTTTTATTATTAATGTAATTATAGCCTTAACTAAAAATTATTTTATACATTACTGAGAAAATATTGAACGTATCCTGTTTTTTTGGGTAGCATTGGAAGGAAAATATAGCAGAAAAAAGACACACAAAATTTAGGCTCTTGGCAATCCACTCACTCTTATGACTGACTGCAGGGATGCTGCAGTTTTCTCCACCTGCCAGTTTTCCCTTCCCATCTCACCCCATTGGATCCTTTAGGCCTATCTTTCACCTATCTGGGTCCCCACAGCCTCCCTCTAGGTCTCAAACTCTAGGGCAGAGCTGTCAAACTCCCAACCCATGGACCGGGTACGCCACGCGCAGGCCATGCCCATGCCCGGTTTGGTGAAGGGGGAAAAAGTCCCAATACGTCATGTGACAGCACTGTGACGAAGCGAGTTTGACATCCTGCTCTAGGGCCTCCTCTCTTCGCTTATTGGACCTTTTCTGAAATTCAGCTTTGGAAGGAAAATTGGCAATTTGCCATGCAGCCTTACAAAGAGTCTGTGTGGTGCTGTCCCAGTAAAGGTGAGTGAACTGAGGCATGATGGAGTGAGGAGGCCCAAGAATGTGGAAGCGACCAAGATGGGAAACACAGCCCAGTGTGCATCAATGGTAGACAAGTGCCGGCTCTGTATGAACTGAGGAGATGCTGTAGTACATTTTCAATTGTCCTATTTAAAGTGTTATTTTGTGTGGGAATTAGAAAATATTATTATTGCATATATTCTATATATTCCTAACACATTTTCTTCACAACTTAATTTTGTTTATTTTATTTCTAGCTTACAACACTAAGGGGTACTGTCTTGGAAGATGCAATACCTTCAACTGCAAAGCATTGCACAGCCAGGGGGTTGCCCTTGAAAGAAGTCCTAGAACATGTGGTTCCTGAATTAAATATACATTGCCTCAGGTTGGCTTTCAATACCCCTAAAGTCACAGAGCAGCTTATGAAACTCGATGAACAAGGGGTAAGATTTACATTGCACATTTTTGGTTTTTAGATGGTTAGTCTTAACTGTTGGGAGTTTTTTTTGTTTATCTTAAAAATGTTATATAAAGCTATATATTGATGTTAAAGAGTAAGACATTTCAAGAGTTAGCTTGCTCTCAAATAATTTAATCAGACACATGGAGGAGCTAAATATTGCCAGTTAGAAATAAAGATCCATGACATTTTAAGCATATAACTATTTTAATTATATTATCAATTACAAATTATTTTCTTTATACACTGCTGCAAAACATTGCATAAGAAGCTGATTTCAAAATTATGCCTTTCTACCTATGACATTTGAGCTAACTTGACAATACATTTTAACAATGAACTTCATTAGGTTCTTAGTACTGCTTGTAAAATATTAATTTAAAGTTGTAATTCTATCATATTAAAGCTTTGCAGTTAATGGCATTCAATTCAGGTATTTTGGGATAAAGGTAGATGTATTCTACACTTGTTCTCTGCCTTTGTGCTATATTGAACTACCCTTTTCAGGAGATGAGTGAGAAAAATGTTATCATTTTGATTAGCTTGTTGTTCTCAACAGGTTTGTTTTAATCAATTTTAGAATCTTTCTAAGCTGCCAGAAATATAAGAGCTGCATATTTATTCCAGTATCTCTTTCCAAAAAGTTTTCCTCCGAAAACTATTTTGGCTTATGGAATATTACAGGATACCATTTTGATTATTATGCTAACTTTAGAAATACAGGTGAAACTCGAAAAATTAGAATATCGTGCAAAAGTTCATTTATTTCAGTAATGCAACTTAAAAGGTGAAACTAATATATGAGATAGATTTGTCATAATTGAGATGATTATGGCTTACAGTTCATGAAAACCCCAAATCCGCAATCTCAGAAAATTAGAATCTTGTGAAAAGGTTCAATATTCTAGGCTCAAAGTGCCCCACTCAAATCAGCTAATTAAGCCGTAACACCTGCAAAGGGTTCCTGAGCCTTTAAATCTCAGTCTGGTTCAGTAGGAATTACAATCATGGGAAAGACTGCTGACCTGACAGTTGTGCAGAAAACAATCATTGACAACCCTCCATAAGGAGGGAAAGTCTCAAAAGGTAATTGCAAAAGAAGTTGGATGTTCCCAAAGTGCTGTATCAAAGCATATTAATAGGAGGTATGTGGAAGGGAAAAGTGTGGAAGAAAAAGGTGCACAAGCAGTAGGGATGACTGCAGCCTGGAGAGGAGTGTCAGGTAAAGGCCATTCAAAAGTGTTGGGGACTTTCACAAGGAGTGGACTGAGGCTGGAGTCAGTGCATCAAGAGCCACCATACACAGACGGATCCTGGACATGGGCTTCAAATGTCGTATTCCTCTTGTCAAGCCGCTCCTGAACAGCAAACGTCAGAAGCATCTTACCTGGGCTAAAGAAAAACAGACCTGGTCTGTTGCTCAATGGTCCAAAGTCCTCTTTTCTGATAAGAGCAACTTTTGCATCTCATTTGGAAATCAAGGACCCAGAGTATGGAGGAAGAATGGAGAGGTACACACTGCAAGATGCTTGAAGTCCAGTGTGAAATTTTCACAGTCTGTGTTGATTTGGGGAGCCATGTCATCTGCTGGTGTTGGTCCACTGTGCTTCATTAAGTCCAGGGTCAATGCAGCCATCTACCAGGAGATTTTGGAGCACTTCATGCTTCCTTCCACAGATGAGCTTTATGGGGATGCTGACTTCATTTTCCAGCAGGACTTGGCACCTGCCCACACTGCCCAAAGCACCAAAACCTGGTTCAATGACTGTGGGATTACTTGCCAGCAAACTTGCCTGACCTGAACCCCATAGAGAATCTGTGGGGCATTGCCAAGAGAAAGATGAGAGACATGAGACCGAACAATGCAGAAGAGCTGAAGGCCGCTATTGAAGCATCCTGGTCTTCCATAACACCTCAGCAATGCCACAGGCTGATAGCTTCCATGCCACGCCGCATTGAGACAGTAATTGCTGCAAAAGGGGCCCAAACGAAGTACTGAGTACATATGCGTGGTTATACTTTTCAGAGGTCCAATATTGTTCTGTGTACAATCCTTGTTTTATTGATTGCATGTAATATTCTAATTTTCTGAGATTGTGGATTTGAGGTTTTCATGAGCTGTAAGCCATAATCATCTCAATTATGACACATCACGGCTTGAACTATCTTACTTTGCATGTAATGAGTCTATCTCACACATTAGTTTCACCTTTTAAGTTTCATTACTGAAATAAATGAACTTTTGCATGATATTCTAATTTTTCGAGTTTCACCTGTGAGAGGGACCATCAAGATTTTTGGACTTAAGAATCACTAACAGGGTAAATACTCAAATCATTCTCAATATGGGATTATCCGTTCAAGAGCAGATGAAAATGAGCAAGTTGAAGCTTATCCAAGATACGATGCAGGTGCTATTATTGAGAACCTAAGGCAATTTGGGAGATGTTAATATAGTCTTAGAAGTGTTCCTTGAGAAAATGAGTTGTACTGAGAACGTTTCTTTCTCTAGCATAGGTATATATGTAAAAAAATGGAGAATTTTTCCTGGGAAAACAAATTTTAAAATTGCTTAATTACTTTCCTTTTTTATAAACAATATTTGACATCTTTAACTCTTTGGCTCTTTGAGCATTTTGCATATGGCCAAAAGGCCAAAAAAAAACCTTCAAGCCTTGCAAAGTCAGTAGAAGCATCCTGTTATAGTCACTAGATTTTAGGCCTCTTACATAACATTATGAAATGGAAGACGGAGCAGATTTTATTACAATATACTGTATCTGGGTCCCTGGCAAGTTGTCGACTAGGCTCTGAGGAATACACAGAATGATAAACAATATTTGGCTCTGTCAGAACATTAGAAACCTATTTTAAGAGGAATTCACTGTGTTTCTCTGGATACACTCTTAGACCACAACCACACATACTATCTACTGTGATTTTTCTAAATGTTTTTGAATATCTAAATACCTGTTTTGAATATATATCTATGAATGTATGTATGTATGTATTTATGCATGCATGTATGCATCTTCGGAAGAAGCCTCTTGGATGAGAAGCGAAATGTCTTCCAAGAAAAACCAGAAAGTCCAGTTGCTTCTTCAAAAAGCACCTTTGGGATCTGGATCATCTCTACGACCTGGATGACTGAGAATCTCCATAGACTTTTTCTTTCTTGTTCAGTCCATATAGTCAGTGTTAAGTGCTAATGGCATAAAAATAATTTAAGTAGATATAATGAAGTTATCATAAAAACCCAGGTGCTTTTGTGATAATTCAATGTTTAGTGAGAAGTAAGTAGCTTGACTAATTTATTTTCCATATTACAGTTTTTGGTAATTTTCTAATGATGAAAAACATTACCTGATGAAAACATTTCTTTTACACCATCATTGGTTACTCACTTCAATTGTAAGCATTATTTTTGTAAATTTTATGTAGTAATATAGTTGGATGAGGAAAACTTGATTATTTAATTACCTTAAATTGCATATTTTAACATATAAGCTGTTCACAAATTGACATTTCAAGAATTCTTGCCATTGATTTGACTGGATCAGGCTAATGTTCATCTTGTTTTATTTATTTAACTTCCAATTATCTTAAAACACCAAAATTATTGTAAATTCAGAAAAAAATAAGGCAGTATTTTCAAACCTAGGATTTAAAATACTGAGGCTTTTTTCTTTTGTATTTTTCAATTTTGGGGTATGTGAAATTTGGAATTAAGCCAATAGTTCTGAATTATTTTGTGGAGCAATTTGAAGTACAGAATAGTAAATATATAGAACCTTGTCATTTTCATTTTTTTCACTCAGCTTTCTTATTACAGAAAACAGAGTTGAATTTGAAAGGAATAGCCTTGTGCCTCTTGATGCAACACAGATAACACAAGAATGCAAACTTGAGTTTTTATTTATATTTACAGTTAAGCTATCAGCTGAAAGTGGGAATCATGTACTGCAAGTCTGGGCAAAGCACAGAAGAGGAAATGTACAATAATGAATCAGCAGGCCCAGCCTTTGAAGAATTTCTTCAGTTGCTGGGAGAACGGGTTCGACTTAAAGGATTTGAAAAGTATCGTGCCCAGCTAGACACAAAGAGTAAGGCTGCCTTTTTTATTCAGAATAATGAAAATATTGAGTACAAAAATAATGAAACCAAAGCTGTAGTCCTTGTGAAGCATCAGCCACCCCAACAGCATAGCACAAAGCTGGAGCCAACTCAGGAAACATCGTACACCCCAGCCTAGTCCCAGCCACCATCACTACCCAGTACTCCAGAGCTGTCTTGCACTCTGCCCCCCAGCTGACCCTCATGATGTTCTTATCCCTGGTGCTAACATGGATGCCCACCTAAGCCCTTCACAAGACAGCTGCTGGCCAAGAGAGCCATCTTTCCCAAGCCTTGCAAGGAAACCGTCATGTGGAACCTTAGGAAGAAAGCCTTGCGTGTTCTGCAGCTGATTCACTGAGGGCTAAGCCAAGACTGGTCAGCAGTGTGAGCAAGATGATGAAGGTCAACTCTGGCAGCAGGCGCCATAGAGTGCAGGGTGCCAAAAGGGCAAAAGCAGGGGAGATAGGTGGGTGGGAGAAGTGAAGTGCCCTGTGGTTGTAAGTGTGGACCAATTGCCAAGTCCCTGAATTTTGATCATGTGATCATGGGGGTGCTGCAATGGTTATAACTTTGGGAACTGGTTGTATATATCCCCTCATTCAGCATCTCCATAACTTTAAACAATAATTGAATAAATGAATGTAAGTTAAGGACTGACCTGTATCTCAGTTTCCAAGCAAGGTCTTTTTTTTACGTTTTCATGTATTAGCTAATTCTCAAGAGATAATTTCTTAAAATGACTTCATAAATCTTACCAACTATATCACTCAAGATATACTTTGTTACTAAATTTAAACATTAACCCATGCTTAAAAATGAAAAAAACCCATATCTAATAAAATGTGAATATATAGCTATAAATGATAACATATTAATCACCCCAAATAAAACTACATCTGTAGTTTGCATTTATTTCCAGTTATCAATATTTTGTTTCATAATAAATACAATAAATTTTAGCTTCCTTTCTCTCTGACATGGAAAGTATGGTTCGCTTCTGGGGGTAATCAAAGTTTTTAAAGTCTGCATACCAGACAATATTAACATAGATGCATTGAAAAAAAGTATCAAATTCTCATTACTAGCTTTTATTGCAAAGAGCACACTAACTTATAAACCTGCTAATGGGTTGGATATGTGAATTTATGATGTTTATGGCATACAGATATGACAATTTATCTGTAACACTAATGATAGGATGAAATAAATCTAAATAAATTGTCTCAATTTAAAAAGTAGTTTATTGTACTGAACAAGAGGTTAATGTTGAAATGACACATGCAAGGGCATAACACTAATTTAGTTTCTATTTTATAATTATAATTGGTAAGCATACAATATTCTAGGAAAAGTATTGCAAAATTTGCACATTGAAAATTATGTTATATGGTTTCTAGCATATTCACTTTTAAGTATCTTTGGTTTTTCTGGCAACCCTTAGAATGTATAATGTGTTTAAAATACAACATATTAAAATATATATATAAAATTAAAAATAAGTAATATTTCTATTTTTTATTTTGCTCTAGAATAAATATTACATTGATTTGGTGCTTGTTTAAATGTATATTTTGCAATCTTGTGGATTGTGTTATTTATAATAATAATAATAAATTAGACCTTATATTATTTATTTACAGCTGATTCAACTGGTACGCACTCTCTTTATACAACGTATAAAGAGTATGAAATCATGTTTCATGTTTCTACAATGTTACCATATACACCCAACAACAAACAACAGGTAGGAACTACTTGAATAATCAGAATATTTAATGTTTATTTCAAATATTATATTAAATTACATTTTTGGCTATCTTGACTAGCTGAAACAAGTATTGGGCTCTCTTGTATCTTATAATTTATATTGTGATGAAAAGGAGGTGGGGAATATTTTTTCGTTTTCAATACATTGAGTTTTTATCACTGATTAGACTGGTTTCATTTGTACTACTGTATCTCTTTTAAGATATCTAAATTAAGAAGCAAATTTGAACAGACAACAAAAATGGCACCATATGACAAAACTAATTTGGGGATTAAAAAAAACAGTGTGTGTAGAACTTTTTATTCCAGTGCAGATGTTTTGGAGATTTTTGTTTCCTTTACAGAAATTGCTTTACTTTAATCACCTAAGGAGAAGTTGCTTTATGTCATTCTTGAAAACCATATTTACAGAAATGTTGGGATGTTCATGCTATTTAGAATTTGATTTTGATTTGTAAGTTCATGACAATCCAGTGTATTTACTACTAACATTGAGCTGGAAGAATAAAATCTGGCCAACATTCCCTTCGGAGTAACAGTGGAATAGCACTGACAGAATAGCAACCTTCTCCATGCAGATATCTGCACTAGTAATTGAATATTTTTGTGGGACCTATTGTTCTTTGCAAGGCAACGTATTACCAAGCTAGACCTTGGGATAATCAGCATATGGTAGACCTAATTTGTTTGCAGACTGTTAATCTGATGGAGCCAGGGTGTGGTTCATATTGCTGTTCCACCATGCTGTGTTACCATAAAAATAAACTATGAATGAATATGCTGATTCTCCATGACAGTATTTATGAAATCTCTGACAGGATATGCTCCAAATTCCATATGTTTCTACTTTCTGCAATGTCCTGTCATATATTCTGTGGCTTCAATCCAAAGTATTTTTAGCAGAGAGAACAAGATGGAGACAGAGACAAAGAGGCTGTTTTGTGAAATGTAATACAATTGAAAGCAAAAGCCAGAAAATTTATAATTCTTGAAACACAATTTATAAAGCATAGTTTTACAGTAATGCAAATATATTTGACAAAATGTGGATTATGATTGGTAGTAAGCCATAAAAATGCTTTAAGGAGCTTGCACCAAGATTAATGGAAGATTTTATGTAAAAGATAACTTTTCTATGTGTGAAGTATTATTTTGTCAACAGTTCTGAATCTGATGGGTGGAAAGACTTGCTAACTGCAGAAAAGTAGTTAGTCAGAGAAGTCATCCTTGTCCACTCACGCTTGCCATCTTGACAAAATTAACCCTCCTCCACTGTCCCTTTAGACGTTTTTGAAATGCTTAAAATTTTTCTAATTATTTGGACTGAATTGGGAAAAATGCATATTTTGCAGATACATATCTGAATGTTGAAAAAGTTTTGTGGTGGATTAAACTTTGTTCACATCTAATAGCTTGGATTTCATGTTAATTCTACTAAACGTACATCATTTGTTGCAAATATAACAAACTTGAGAGTTTTTTTCCCCTAAGAAATATTTTTTAAAAATATAGCCTGAATTGAAAAGCAAGAAAAAAATAATTAATTTGATAAGTCAGCCAAAATTAAATAATAATTTTAATATATTGAAAAATATTGCCTAAATTAAAAACTTTGGCATTTTGTAAAGGTTTAGACTATTAGATAGACACACAATATAATAACAAAAATTTTATGACTGGAAATTTAATTTTAGAAATAAAATCTCATGGAAAGATGTTTCTTTGCATTAAGGTAGATCTCTAATTGTTGTTATGGAAACTACAAGTTTTAATTTATTTTAACATATTTTTTATATTGATAAATTCTTCAATAACTTATTTGTTTTAGAAACAATTTTTAAAAACCATCAGGCATTTTTACATTTTAAAACATGAACTAATGGGAACAATAATCATATTCTATAACAATATTAATGCTTTTAATTCTCATGGGTTTCTTGTCTTCATGATCAAAGCTGTTAAGAAAACGACACATTGGGAATGATATCGTGACAATAGTTTTCCAAGAACCTGGAGCCGAATCATTTAGCCCAAAGAATATTCGTTCTCACTTTCAACACGTCTTTGTCATTGTCCGAGTGCACAATCCTTGTACTGACAACGTTTGTTACAGGTAACTATTACACTGTTTATGATGGTTTTGCATGACAGAAAATAACTTTTTCTCTCTAAACCACCCAGAGTCATGTAGGCAGTGAGATGGGTGATGCCTAAATTTGATGTAAATTTGATAACTACAGGTAGTCCTTGATGACATTTGAGCCCAAAATTTCCACTCCTAAAAAAGGCAGTTGCTAAGTGAGTTGTGTATCATTTTGTGACCTTTTTTGCAACAGTTGCTAAATGTATCGCTACAGTTGTTGGGTAAATCATGCAGTCATTAAGCAAATCTGGCTTCCCCCTTTGACTTTGCTAGGCAGCTGGCTGGGAAGTTTACAAATGTTGATCACATGTCTCCAGAACAGTGCAACTGTAATAAATATCTGCCTGTTGCCAAGCACCCAAATTTTGATCATGTGACTGTGGGTATGCTGCAACAGTCATACATGTGAAAAACGATCATGTCACTTGTTTCAGCACTGTTGTAACTTCAAATAACTGTTTAGTTACACTGTTGTAACTAAATGAATGGCTGTAAGTTGAGAACTACTTGCACGAAGTTGCAATATTCAGTCGGAGCATTTTCTAATTCTATTATTATTTAGCAGTAAAATATTTTAGATGCAATTAGAAGTAAATGAAAATCTGAGAACTATTTATTATTTCTATTTTTCCTATCAAAAATGATTATATATGAGTTAAATAGTTTGAAACTAGAGATACTGGCTTTGCACAGCAGAATGAAAACCAAATGTATCTTATACACTAGATTTGTAGTAGTTGTCCCACAATGTTTATATGCAGGGAAATTTCTTTCGAATGCACATTTAGTAAGCAGAACGTGTATTTTTGATAGATGTGTATATATTTCTTTTTCTGGAAAATATCCAAGACATATAAATGGAACGTTTCAACATTCGAGATTGAGAAAGAAAATACTGGCGATATATTTCTTTTTAATGTATTAGAAATACAAATATAGGTTATTTGTTTTATGTGTCCTTCTTAAATGACATGTGTTTCTATATAAAGTAATAGTAACACAAAAAAAGGATATTTCAGAAATATTTATTATTCACTGTTGCTTAAATGGGTAAGACTCTTGAAATAGAAAGAAGGCATTACAATTCTATTTTCTGTTTAGGTGACAGGATTTAAATAATAAAAGTTATGTCATCCTGATCTCATTGTACATAATCTCCATAAATATAATTAGCATTCTTTCTTAATAGACGCATTTCATAGTCTTACTTTACTGCCTTCCCATTCTTCCCTTCCCCTTTTGGTCCTGTCTTAATAAAATCAGAACCCACATCATTTTCAACACTCTTTAAAGTGTCTCCCTTGTATAATAATAAAAAATGGAGATAATGTCATTTTTTTTTTTAGTAGCATTGTTTGGAATAAGTAGAACCCCAGTGGCATCCATCAATATGCATTTTGGACTGGGGGGGGGGCAGGGAGTCGAGAGAAAAGCAACAGATCTACGGTGGGAGGGGTGATGTAATTACCAGCTGAAAGTTGTTGTCAGATTCTCAGAATACAAGGGAGAAGTGAGCATGGCATGGAGTCTTCTATTGACTGTGAGCTAAAACAAAAGTTGAGCTATAGAAATCTGTTGTCACTCAAGCCAGTAGGATTTTCATAAATTCCAATGTAAAAAGGCTGGCAAGAAAAATGGATTGGATCCTGCTGAATCACTAGTACAATGATTCACATGCATTAATGTTCTGTTGAGGTTCTGTAGCTTTACATTTTTTTTAAAAGATGGTTGGCATGATTGCACTTTCCATGTAATTCTTGCTTTTACCAGTGTATTCATCTATTACTCCTCTGCTTCTTTTCTCTTTGGTTAAGGAGCAATAGAAGTAACATTCCCAGTCGGCATTTAAAATAATCTCTTTGCTAAGTAGCAAGTCCTTGTTTCTTTGTAAGTCTGGGAGGGAATAGTTATAAATTTGAGCAATTCAAGGTATTTCTTTTATGTTTTCAGGACATGTGGAGGTGGTTGTTAACATATATTGTAGAGAGCAGAATAAAAGAAATGAATAATGTTTGAATACTTTATTGCCAAGTAACTTCACTTGAAAATTGTAGTTCATAGTTTGTAGGTTTGGAGAAGAATAAAGATACTAAAATACTATTGACTTAATGTAAATGTACTGCATGAAAGCAAAAAACAATAATAGTAATTGATAAAGTGTACTCAAATAGATATATAATATATTGAAGAAATTTTAAGAAATGGTCTAAACTGTAAATAATCAGCATATCAAAGAATTTTTTTTATGTCATGAGGCATCTAGCAGTTGTAACAGAGTATCCTTTCTGTAGAACTGGACTGTCTATAAAAACAACAAAATATATAGCGCACTGAAATTTATAATGTTTTTGCATATTGCTTTAAATCACATTTATATGTATTTTTGCAGTGTTGCTGTGACAAGATCAAGAGATGTGCCCTCATTTGGACCTCCAATTCCTAAAGGCATCACCTTTCCTAAATCAAATGTATTCAGGGACTTCTTACTGGCCAAAGTGATCAATGCTGAGAATGCAGCTCATAAATCAGAAAAATTCCGTGCTATGGCTACTAGAACCCGTCAGGAATACTTGAAAGATTTGGCAGAAAAGAATGTGACAAATACACCCATTGATCCTTCTGGCAAATTCCCTTTCATCTCACTTGCTTCTAAGAAGAAGGAGAAATCCAAACCCCATCCAGGAATAGAATTGCATAGTTCTGGCGCTGTTGTGTGGATTCTCCATGCTAAAGATTATAGCAAGGGTTTAGATATAGATTGTCTTTTGGGCATTTCTAATGAATTTGTTGTTGTAATTGAACAAGATACGAAAAGTGTTGTATTCAATTGTTCCTGCCGCGATGTAATAGGGTGGACTTCAACAGATACAAGCGTCAAAATTTTCTATGAAAGAGGAGAATGCATTTCTGTGGAAAGTTTCAAAAACCCTGAAGATATCAAAGAGATTGTCAAAAGACTAGAGGTTAGAATTCCTTATTTTCCCCTTACCTTCCTTCCTCAAGCATAAATATATAGAGAAATGCTTTAATTTCCTTCTTGGATCTGAACAACAAACTGGCAAAATAAAATGGATGTAGGAGATGACCAGGGGTCAAACATATTCATTTGGAATCTCTTATGTGCCTATATGAAACTTAAATCCACCCCACCCCCCACTTGAAATCTCTTGACTCTTATCTGGCATCACTTCATCTTGACTATTAGCAGATCAGACTCTTGTGCAGGTAGCATGAAATAAACTTGTAGTGCTTTTGGACTCTACTCTGGTTCCTGATTTCTTGTATCTGACAATGTTCTACCCACTTACTAGGTTACTTTTCAAATCCTTGTCCTACTCAAAGCAATAAAACATCTTGTAGCTTATTCACCTACTTTTTAACGTCTGGATAGTGTATTTATTATATGAATATTTACACTTTAGCTGCATAAATGTTATTTGTGAAATCAAAACAGTATTTTCCATGCTGTGAGAAAAGACTTAACGGTAATATTTCCAGCATTCAAAAATATTATCTTTTAGGAACAGGACTTAACATAGTAAAGCAAAGAGTTCCATAACCAAGAGTTTACTGAATTATAAAAAGTGTCAAGTCAATAAAAGATTTAATAATTAAATGACTTTTGTCAATTTGTAAATGAATACTAGTCTACACATCCTCTATTACTGTAGGTATTGTTTCATACATTTAACGTTTTTGTAGCATTCATAATTTTCAGCGAGGACTGGAATATAGCTAGTCATTTTTACAAGATGAAGCTAAGCTGACGATTATTCCTCAGTAGTAATCCAGCTATCTTCTTCAGAGGTATATACTATAATTGCTGTATGAATAAGGAATGTCAATATCTACCTTGCTTCATGCTCTGTTTTAAAGATCAAGCCTATTTATTTGTGTCTCCTACTGAATTACGTGTTCATTGTACTAAACTGTTCTCATTACACCTCCACTTCTCTGTCTTCCAATTCTCAGCTCGTGACCAAGGGATGTGAGTCAGTGGAGATGACTTTACGACGGAATGGATTGGGTCAGCTTGGCTTCCATGTGAATTATGAAGGAATCGTGGCAGATGTTGAACCATATGGCTATGCTTGGCAAGCAGGATTACGGCAAGGCAGCAGATTAGTGGAAATTTGCACTGTGGCTGTCGCTACTCTAAGCCACGAGCAAATGATTGATCTCCTGAGAACTTCAGTTACTGTGAAGGTTGTCATTATCCCACCTCATGAAGATTGTACTCCACGAAGGTATTTGGCAACCAATGAATTAATTAATATCTATCACTGATTAAAAGAGAAGCAGCTTGAAGTAGTAATTAAAGAATCAGGCTAGAAACCAGATGACTGTAAATCCTAGTCCCAGGTGACCTTCAGCTAATCACTCTCAGCTCTAGGAAACAGGCATGTGTCTGTTATCTATTATTATGTGTCTATTATCTATATGTCTGTTTTCTTGGTCTGTGTATCCTATCTAGAGGTATGACCTTTTGGAAGTTATGACAGGTGCTATAAAGCCCATATGAAGCACTTCCAGTCATCATAAAAGTCTCCCCCCCCCATCAGTTACATGATCAAAGTTGGGCAGTTGGCAACCTGTTCATACTTACAATTGGTTGCCACGCACCCCATGACCATGGGATCACGATTTGTAATTTCTTTTGATTTCCCCAGAAAATCAATGGGTAAACTGGCTGGGAATATTACAAGCTGCTACCACCTGCCCATAGTACTCCCTCATGTTGCTGGCTTAAAGAGCTGCCTGCCAAGGAAGACCAAACTCCTTTGACAGGGTAGAGACCCAAGGTTGGAGGCACATTACTGTATCCCATTGAAGGCAGTCCCTTCTGCACATGAAAGGGGGCTGAACCTCTTGGCCAGAGTGGATCTGAGGAGCTGTGCTTTGTTCCTGCCACTCTGCCAAAGGCATTCCCTTCCGTGAATGAATGGGAGCTGATATCCTTCGTCAGGCAGCTCTTTCAATCCCTAGACCTGAGAAGGAGCCGAAATCCAAGCATATGCAAGGGGAAGGCCCAGATCAGGCTGGAGCAAGTGTCTTTTTGCCCAGGGGATGAAAATCCTGCTTGGATTTTTGGCAGAAAGGATTTTCAGTTCTTGAATGGAGAGGCAGTACAGTAAGTTAAGAGGCATGGTGTCCGTGTGTGTGTGTGTGTGTGTGTGTGTGTGTGTGAGAGAGAAGGCCCTGGGAGACCTGGCACAGACCATGCACAAGTGTCTCTCCCTCGGAGGTTGAAAATCCTACTTGGATTTTGGCAGCTTTGCAGCTCCTAAGCCTCCAAAAGTCTCCTCACCCCTATAGAGGTGCCCCATCCTTCTTATCTGGACTCTGTCCATTTAACAATATCGCCCAGTCCGTGATTGCTCAAATAAGTGCAACCAGAAATGCCAGGATTGCGATCACTGAATAAAGTAGTCACATGGGCAGTCATGTGACAATTTGCTTAACAACCATTTCACCCAGCGACTGAGATTCTGGTCCAGTTGTGACTGCATTATCTCCATGTGTCTATGTATCAGCTCTTGATCTCTATGTCTATATATAAGCAGGCAGATAGACATACACATTTACACACCCTTTCAAAAGAGACGATAAAAAGCACAAAAGAAAATTTAAAAAGACCAGAACACATCTCCTCCCAGCAGCCAATGCCCAGATAAACGGGTTAACATGAGACAATCAAGCAGAAAACAATACCTTTATCAAGGAACTACCCAAACGAAAATCAAACCCCCACCAAGACTGGTAGGTCAAGTACTGTGTATAAAAGGGAACTAAGCTGCACAATCACCAGCACTGATGATATTATTTAGACAGGTAATGAAACAACTGCAGATAAGCTAAGAGAACCCCAAGGACTTCACAAATCAAATCTGAGCTACATATATTCTCTTCTGTTGGAGACATTAATATATTTTATTATAGAATTCAGTGTTACAAGGTTAAAGTGTCAGTTTTTTCAATGAATTTTGAATGCTTGGTGTTAATTCTTTATCCAGTTTCTTGAGACTTACTTTTGAATAAAGATTAAAAATTTGTCCCTTCTTCAATAAGCAGAGAAGATATTTCACTTCCTAGAAAACCACTTGATTAAACTGAGAAATTGGAAGTGATAGTAGTTTTTAATGACACCATCTTCCTGTGTGCATGTTCACAGGAATGGGGCAAGAGGAGGAATGGTAAAATATACATTGTGACTCAAACTGTGTCCCTTTTGCACATGCACTATGATATTGTGTGCAAGGGATAAGGCTTGCATTGTGATGACCAACATATATTTTGTCATGTTGAAAAAAACATGGTTTGCTGCAGACATACCAAAAATACAAGCTACAAGTATTATACTCGAAGCTAACTTGCAGCAGTCGATGAGTTTCATACAGTAAATGTTCTTATATTCAAGGTATTCTTGTTGCTGTTTTATAGTGAAACAATGCATTGCACATGTATCTCCCGTATTTCACACTTTGGTTAACTTACTTTTCAATCTTCCAGAAGTTTTTCAGAAATTCATCGCATGCCAGTAATGGAATACAAAATGAATGATGGCGGAGTTCCATACGAGTTCAAATTCCCATTCAGAAATAATAACAAGTGGCAGAGAAATGCTAACAAGGGGCAAGCATCTCATGTTCAGCAAATGCCATCACAGACGCAAAGTCCAATTCCCACTAGAGTTGCCTCAGGGAAAGGTGAAGGAAAAATGCCTCCTCCAGATCGGGCCGCCAACATTCCACGTAGTATTTCTAGTGATGGCCGTCCACTGGAGAGTAGAAGGTATGATTCTAACTTGGGAGTGTTCTTTTGCAGTGCAAGTAACAGAATTTTTAAATCCAAAATACAGGTAGTCCTCAACTTACAACCACAATTGGGACCAGAATTTCCATTGCTATGGTTGTTAAGTGAGTTGCACCCAATTTTATAACTTTTTTTTGACATGTTTACTAAACGGATCACTGGAATTCTCAACTTAATTATGCTGTCATTAAGCAATGGCTTTCCCCCGTTGACTGCGTGTTGGAAGCTGGCTGGGAAGGGGCTCACATAAGACAATGAAGCCTTCATAAATGTATGCTGTTTGCCAAGTGCCTGAATTTTGATAATTGATCATGATAATTCTGCAATGGTACAAAGTACAAGGATTGATTTTGGCTTTTTTTTTAACTTCAGTCACTGAATAAATGGTTTTAAATCAAGGACTAGTTGTATAAAGGGAGTGTTAAATACTGTAGATAATTCTTAAAAGAAAACAGTCACAAAAGCTATATCTTCATTTTTAATCAGACCATTTTTAAAATATATATATATATATTTGGAATCTTTTAAAAAGGCATTAAATTACCTGTGAATAATTATATTTGTATTATTCAAATAATTCTTGTTCTGATTCTGACTTATTCTCAATTACTTTTTGTAGAAAATGTAATTATTAACTTACTGTTTGCCTCTGATATTCCTAAGGCTCCCTCCCACAATCTTCCCTACCCAGGCCCACTATATCTTTAACTTCACATATGGCATGTTCATTTGCCCAATCTCTGACAATAAAACTGGGTTGTCTACTTGAGCACCCATTTTGGATCTTACTAGAGTTCACTTTTTCAATAGAAGAAAGTTTGTAAAATCTGGACTGTGTGTTCTTTCATTTCTTCTGTTCACTATTAGTTTCAACATGTAAAAAAAAGTGAACATGTTTATTCATTCCATATATTTCTAAAATTGCCATAACAACGTAAGTATAATTTGAAACTTGTTAGTATTTCTTAAGTCCTCCAGATGTAAAAAATAAATAAGGGGGAAAGGTCAAGCCAATACAGTGAGTTAGCTTTTATATTTGTTTATGATCATTTAGTATTTGGTGTTCATTTTTCATATGTATTATGAACTGAACCTTTAGAAAGGTTGTCTAAACTTATGAGTATTAAGTCCAATTCTTTAGATACTGAGGAACAGAGTCTATATGATTGGCTGTCATAAGTTCTGTCAAAATTCCGCAAAATTGGGCTCATCATTCTGATGTGACAGATTGCCTCTCTAACTACTATTCTTACTTTTTAAAAGAATAGACCTTAGAGTTGAAAATAATCACTTTTTTAAAAAAAATGGTGTCAAATGATATCACAGCAAATACATTTCATGGTAATTTCTAGTAGATTATAGTTCACTTATTCCTCCATTCTCTGTTTACTTGTTTTTCATGTGTACTAGAAATGTTGGCAGTTTATGGTTAGTTGTAATTTGTTGGTTTTCTGATGTAACTTATGATAACTAAGTGATTAAGTGGGAATGATGTCTGTAACAGTTTTAGCTTTGTACTAGTGGAAAATACTTAAGTTTGCCAAGGTAGGCATTTGTTTTTGTCAGTGCAGTACACTACAGATCTTGGGGAAATAGAGGCTAGTGAGGCATAGAATATGTAATTACAGAATATGTAAGGAGCTGAAAATAAAAACACTGCATATATAGGAAAATTGAAGAATGTACAATCACCAAGAAAGTACCAACAGATGACCAGACTGTAGAGGTACAGATGTTATGTAAATAACAAAGCTCAGAGAGCATCAAGGGCTCCAAAGTAAAAGCTTAAATAAGCTTAGGTTAGGTTATTAAAGGAAAACCCAAATAAAATAAAATTATATCTGCTTTTCCTTGAAGATAGTAAAATATTAGCAGGGGAAAAGAGACATGCCAACACAACTCAGAATTTCAGAATAGAATAGAGCTGGAAGAGACCTTGGAGTTTTTCTAGTCCAACCCTAGACCATTTCAGGGAGGTTAAAAGCCTCCAGTGATGAAGCACCTACAACTTCTGAAGGCAAGCTGTTCTACTAGTTAATTGTCCTCACTGTTTCTCCTTAATTCCTAACCCCCACCCCCACCCCGGCCCCATGATTAGTTTCCATTCATTTTTGCTTGTTTTGGCTCAATAAAAAGCAAATATTCTACCAAAAATCTAAAAAAAGACAAAGGGGAAATCAGAACCTTAAATAAATTGCAGCCAGTGGTGGCTAAAAATCGGCAAATTAAGAGTACATGGGCTCATTGGCTCAGGATCCTTAGCTTCAGTTGTAGACTGCATACCCATCTTCCTATCCTGTGAACCCATATTCCTCCCTTTCTCTACCTTTACTTAATATCTGACAACATCCTTTGCTCCAACTGAAGCATAAGGAATCGTAGAAAAAGAAAGGCTCCAAGAAGATTAGGTAGCAGACCAACACACAGGTTACATGAAGTACAGTGAGTCAGAAGACGAAGGATTCAAGTTTTACCCTATTCACCCAATAAGATTTCTAGATTTATTCTTGACTGAAATCAGGAACAACCAAAATGCTCAGTTCTTGCCAAATTATAGTTCATCCTGAACTGTTTGGCAGAACTTCTGAGCTGTAATTTGGTAGTACTTAAAAGTTTAAGAACTGTTTTGAAGTTTCAATATTTCTTTATAAATGTAATCTAAAACATTTGTTTTCCAGATATGAATCATTTTTCTCAATAATTAAATAAACAAGAATGGTGTTTTGGATTCATTAGTTCATCTTTATCTAGTTTCAGGATCTGTGTAGAGCAGTGGTCCCCAAGCTTTTTTGTACCAGGGACCAGTTTCACGCAGAAACACTTTTTCAAGGACCGGGGGGGGGGGGGGGAGGAGAGACACTTTTTCAAGGAGGGGGAGGAGTCCGAGTTTGGTGGTTTGCTTGCAGACGCTTCATTACCTGACTAGATAACATCTGATGTTGTTACCTAGTCGGGTAATAAAACGTCTGCCAGCAAACCACCAAGTTCAGGGAGGCTCAGGACAAGTCCCTGCAGGATGGCTGAGAAGCCCTGCCTCCCTCAGCCTCAGGTGTCTCCCTCCCTCCCTCAGCCTTATCCCTCAGGTGTCTCCCTCCCTCCCTCAGCCTTATCCCTCAGGTGTCTCCCTCCCTCCCTCAGCCTTATCCCTCAGGTGTCTGCCTCGTTCCTCTCTCAGTCGCTCTCTCGTTCCTCCACCAGCCCAGGAAGAAACTGCTTCAAAGAAGCTGGCAGGGTGGCTTTTCCTGTTGGCGCAGCTCCTCCGAAGCGCCTGTTCACCCCCACCCCACCGCCTGTGGTTCAATTCAGTGCTCCGTTCTATCTGCGTGCCTGCCTTCGTTTCTGGTTGTTTCGGAGCAGCTTTGGCTGAGTAA